AAAAATTCTTTGATAATTCCAAAAAAAAATCCAGTAACTTAAAAAAAAATCTAGTAATTCACAACAGTAATTCCAAAGATAATTTTAATAATTCTAAATAATTCCGAACAATATTGATTTAATTCTAAAAATTTGAACAAATAATTTTAAAGTTAAGAACCCCTCATTCAGAAACGTTTTAAAAAGATGATGTATAGGTAAACATTTTTAAAAATTGTTGATTTTTATTTTTATATTTTGAAATTTGTTAAAAATCAAGATTTTATAAAATTCAAAACGTGTGATTTTAAAAGTAAGTTAGCAACATTTAAATAACGTTGACAGAAAGCAATTTCGTCAATTTTGATATTTCTGTCGATCATTCAGTGTTGCCAACTTAATTTCAGTCACAGGTCACTTTCTCAAAGTGAAAAATAAGAGCATTTTTGCTATTCTCTGTTATTTTTCACAAAAATTACGTATTTATGCTTTAATCAAATAATTGCATGTCCGGTTGTAAATAACGCTCTCCCGGCGCCTCCACCATATTTTACATACACTTGCGTGTAAGTTTTATGCAAAAGCAAGAAAAAGGTAATAAAAACTTATTATATTATGTAAGAAAATGTGACCCTGGTTGTAACAATAAGCCAAATAGGGTTTTTATGACAATTTATGTTGGCTCCTGTTACCAAGATTTAAATTATTCCACCTAATTTAATTTTTGATAGAGTTTCTCCACACAATTGCAATAAATTTTAATTTTTTCAAACAAATTCTTCAATTAATTTCCACGTTGTTAATTTGTTCTTGTTCACAGGCGCGCAGCGGAAGCGCCAGTAGCTATAGAAGTCTAAGTCAGGTAACTCCTTATTTGAACTAGCGAGGTAGTGATAGAATCTAGAGTGCTTGTGCATCTTGGACGCCATTACAGGGGAGTGTCGTAGCCTACTTTGAGACAATTGAAAAGTCGATTTATGATACAGTGGAGAAACATGAACGCTTACATAGTTACATAATGAACGTAGATTTTAGCTCGGCATTGTTTGCATGTGTTTTAGGTTAGTTCTGTAGTAAGCAGTTCATTGTTTGGGACTACAAGGCTTAGTTTCTACTTAATTCAAACGAGGGAAAGTTTCACAGTTGGCTGTGACGGCTGTTATAATTCAAACAACAAATTCAAATATTTACAATTTTATTAGGAACCATCGCACTTAACAATACATTAATAAAAAAAACACTTTGTACACCCCTTAATCACCTGTCATCATTTCTATAAATTCTGTAAAAACAATTGCAAGTGTTTGCACAGTTTGGCAACGCTGTCTTACCTTCAAAATCGACCGTTCCGGAGGAATCCGTGTCAATTTCCGCAATCATTTCATTTAATTGATCATTGGTGAGTTGGTCATCGAGGGCGACTAAGATTTCCCGCAAGCTCGAAGTCGGGATATATCCGTTTCCTGTCGATGAGGCAGAAAAATCAAGTAGGCGTGCTCTCAGCGCCAACTGCAACTCACCTTGTTTATCGTACAGTCGGAAAGCTTCTTTTAATTCCTTCTGAAGGACCTCGTCATCCTCATTATCAAGGAAGTTAGCGGCGACTTTACAAAACGAATCGAAATTTAAATAGCCCGACCCTGGAATCAAGATTTTATTTTTCACTTTTGTGTTGATTTAATAAGTGTTGACACGTGGGCGCGTTTATTATTTATGTGGTTTATTTGGCCGGGATGCGTGTTCTAAATTTGTCAAAATACGGTCCTGGGGTTTTACGATTTCGTTGACTCGAAATTATACTTTTATTACATGTCTCCGGCGACATTTAAAAAAGAATAAATACGACTTCAAAG